AAGAGCCGAACGGCTAGCCCCCTCACCATTCGCAAAGATATGACTTCTTGTCTACCAGACTGAATGTCCTACGATACGTTTGCGATGCGATGGCTGATAGCCAAGACCTGCAGAAACAATATGCAGATGAAAAAGGAAGAGGCAAATTAGAAAGCTTAAGGTCGGGGGCCTGAATTTATTAAATTCTAAAAACCTTCCTACACATGCAGCCTCTGTTATCTTCAGGACGAAGCTTCGTTTACGGTTTATCGGAATAATTGAGGTTGTGGCCAAACGAGGCCTAGCGTATACGCTGAACCTTTCAAAACGGATGCGCATCCACCCGGTGTATTACGTGGGCTTGCTCAAGCCGTATCGGGATCTGGCGCGAGTGAACGCGGAAGCGTTGGTGCCGGAGTGGATCCCACGGGCGCTCGGCCACCCAGAAACTGAATCAGCAACTGGTTCTGAGCACGAAGTGCAACAACCTCCATTTCCAATGGAGCCAAGCGCCCCACCGTCGCATGCAGCGACGCCTTCGCCTGCTCCACCGCTAGGAGTCGCTCTGACAGAGCGCGGTAGTTCTCTATGTAAGGCAACCGGCGCACGACGGGATCCAAATCCTCAAGAACGTCTGCACAGCGATATGCTTCTTCAGCATGACGCTCAGTGGAGCTCCGATCACGAAGGACCTCGTCCCCAAGGTCTCGAAGAGCATCACGAGTCACCGGACGGCGGTCGACCCGGTCGTCACCGCCCGCCACCAACTCTTCTCGATGAGAACGGTGACGTCCACTATCTCGTGGAACGTCTAATAAGACGACGTCATCACCAGGGCCAGACCCAATATCTAGTGAAGTGGCGGGGATATCTCGACTCCAAAACCTTGTGGGAGTTTGAGACGCCACTTCGGCAAGATTACCCAGACGCCGTTGACGCTTTTGTTCAGAAAAATCAGGACGTTCCGCGCTTCCCGGCAATAGTCACTGAATAAGAAGGGCCATGAGTTGAGCTTAAGCAGCGGCCCTGAACTCTTGCGGTCGAAGACACAGAGCTCGCGAAAACATTAAGGGTTAACCCATACGTCGCAGAGCAACAAACCGAAGGAAGTCGAGGCTTGCCTTGAGTTTGGCAAACTCAAATCGGAAGTGTCGCTCCACCGCACGTCCACTTCCTTGTGGCTCAACTGTAGATTATACAGTGAGGAAAGTTTCCGGTGCCGTTGCACCCATCGCTCAAAGAGCGCTTTGTCATCTGTAGCGCTTTTGCCAGGGGCGAGCACTACAGGTATTGTCCGCATTGCGGGTACACGAGAGCCACCTCGTTGAGCACGTAAACGAGTGCGATAAACGACCAACGGAAATTTTTGTGGGACCACGAAACGAGCTCGAAAAGCTTTTCGTTAGGCATGTTCATCTTCTGTTCTGGCCGGGGGCCCGATGATGTGGAGGTGTAACGATTGCGTTACCGCGTCCTTCGCTTCCACAGCGGGATTCGCTGGGCGAAAGCCATATTCTACACGAGGGTCAATGACCGGCCGCGGATGGGCACGCTTTTGATCCGCCTTATCGGTAGCTTCCAGCTGCCGCCTCTGAGCCCCGTCGAGGTCATTGGTGATTATACCACGTTCCTCGGTTGACGAGAAGCCAGGGTACGGGCATGGGATCCGCAAGGCACGAGCAGGGCTCGTCTTACGCCGCTGGCGCGGCTCGCCTTCCTCGTCATCCCACCCGGAAAAAGAAGTGTCAGACTCGTAGTCGACCACCTCCACATCCTCAACGAGGTCACTCGCCAGGGATTACGTACGCGGAGCGCGACGCTCGGGCTCATCGAGCCTAGGATTTAGCCCCCCCCTCCGATGCCGCGGACGCACTGTCCGACATTGCACCGCTTGCGGGAGACATATTTGGGCTTTGCCCGTGCGCGCTGTTAGGATCAGCAAGACTTGGGGACTTCAGTGTCGTAGACACAGGGCTCACTGAGCACGAAAGTCGTTCCGATTCAACGCAGTGTCTACCGGACATGCAAGCCTCGTTGAGGCAATAATCGATTGGAACTGTAAATGTTCTCAATTATATTGGATGAGAGTGTAACGGGGTCACACATACCCTGGTAACAGGGGTGTGTGTCACACCAGATGGGCATGGTGTCACCACACTCAAACAAGAATACGGTACGGGGCTAGATAGCCAGTAGTTATACATGTATTTAGATTTTACTATGCATATTTAAAAAAATCTATGTATTTAAAATCAGGCGGCTTTGCAGTAGATAGAAATAAATAAAAATCAGTTTTGAATTTAGATCGAAGAGTTTATTAGCCCTAGTTAAGATTGTCATCACGTTTGGAGAACGCGGATTGCGATCCGCTAAACTCATACTGGTTCTTGTAAAGAACGAAAGGTCAGTGACCTGAGTTACGCTTCCTCAAAGCGCAAAGCTACGGCAGCCTTGCTGCACTCTCGCCTTCCTTAACTAGAGCAATATATAGAATGCAAGCACATCCTGAACTTTCGAGGTACCACCCAGACCTGGAAGTCATCACCAGCACCACAAAACTAGCCACCCCGCCGAATATCGCACATTCTCGCCTGAACGGGTGACCACATTATACGATATAACAGCTAGTACGATTCATAGCCGCAAACGTAGGCGTTTTATTGACAATTCACAATGACATCGTCGAGCTATAATCGGAAAGCTTCTTCTGCAAAGTGACGAAGAAGACAACGGTATTCGTGCAGCTGATTGTCATTCTCTGTTATCATTAAACAACGACAGCACTTCATTTTAGGTGAAATTTATCAAGTCAAACACTTTAGATTGCTGCTAAATTTGTGAAGCAAGGAGTGCCATTCGGAATGGCCTTTGTAGCGGTACAAACAGCAAAAGAAAATTTGTCTATCCAAACCGGTACACTGCAATGAAATTCGAGTCGACAAGTATGCACGACTTGTATGCGTTAATTATTTCACAATATCATGAAGACCGTCAAAGAAGTCTGAGCGTTTTCTGAAGCCTTTTATGGGTCAACTGATTTTCATGGAATTTCATACATTGATAAGAGGATCTGGTTCTTTCAACATTTACGAATTTAGAACCTCTACGATACTGTATTACCAGTGGAAGGAAGCCACACATGAAGCTCTTTGGTCCATCATGGCCTAAAAACCTTTGGATGCTCAACAGATGGAGCGGAAAATATGACCGGGCACGTATCCAGCGATGTTGTGCGACTTCAAGATACTGTTACAGAACGAGGTTTTATCTGTGCTTGGTGCTTGCTACACCAAATTGATACCGTCTATAGAAGAAATTCAAAGTTTCCTCTCAAGCTCACAATTAGCTCGTTTATTTTAACGCCTTCGATGCAAGAATTACTGCTCGTCCTTGCAATTTCTCAACTACATATTTGATTAGCGAGGAAATATCGCTGCCAGCTGCCAGCAATATCCACCATTCCAGAACACGAAGGAGTCAAAGCAGCTTCATTGCGTCGCGATATTCCAGCAACCACCGACGGACGCGTCTCATGAAAACACAGTGCGCGCTAACAAAAGATTGCGCTCAGCTTTGAGTCGGTCATAGAATCGTTTTTTTCTAAAATGTCGTATACATTTTGGAGGCCCAACGGAGAAATACGTGAATTGTTCTGAGGTCCAACATGTACACCGTTGTTGAATCCTGGGTTGTCGGGAAGGAAGCGATCATTGGGTTCAAGAAATTCAGACATTTTTTGCAATGCAGACTCTCATACAGCTCTCAGATACAGAGCGGTAAAAGTTAATGCTCTGCGTTTTCGGCTTCCTGTCCGACATTCTGAACAGGCTGTCCACTGTGGCAGCCAAATCGCATCAATGCTGCTGCAATCGATTTTTTTTCTTAAATTTTACCTCATCATATGATGCTGTGACGTCTACGTAACTTTTCGAATCTGGTCTCATTTTACCACTGCCGTTTATCTCATTGTTGGTGTGCACAAACGATTGAGGTTATTGGCTTCCAGTACAAGTAATCCGTTAATGCAACACAAAAGGAGCCTAATCTGAAGTCTGCTATTTGTAGACTCGAAGAAACTGTGATTTTTGTGTGAATCATTACCTAAGTAAAAAACGCTTTTTGGAGTTGTGGAATTCATGGGAGGCTTATTTGTACCGTTTACAAATACCGCCTCAATAGAATCAATTTCTTCCGTATCTTAGATGCCCCCTTCGCTCAAAGACATACATTTTCGAAACATGTTCTCACCAAACTCAACTAAACTGCCTCATTTCGGTAATCCCAACTTACATGCCGTTTACTTATTCGGATGCACGCCGTTTCTTTTATCAAAACAAAACATTTGCCTTGTATTCAGAGGCTTGGTTATGAAGAACTGGACTCGTAGGGTTTGAATTTGTGCAACTTAGTCCTTCTTCTTCTAAAAAGAAAACAACCGCTCCAAGAGCTACCTTATCTGCCAAGAAAATGATTAAAATAAAGAGTTTATTGCAAAGGTGATACAAATACCAAATATTCGCGAGATGTGATACAATTGTGTTATAAACACTAAATATACGAGCCCTGGTAAGATTACCGAGTGCAGCTATTCTTGGTTCATCGTTACATTGGAGGCGTGTGCCATGGAGATGACCTCGTACCAAGAAAATCTCGGGACACTAAAGATCCCTGAGGACGATTTGCTTACAGCTAAGCTTAGTATCTCCCCATCAGCGTATGTTCGAGATAAATATATGCTAATCGACAATTTGACCTAAGCTGCTAATCGGCTTGTTGCCCTGTTGTGGCCGAGCACCCCACAGATGGTGCACTTGTATGACTTTCTCGCCTTTCCGCCAACCTCACCATGAGATCTGATGCGTCGTTTCCTTGGACGACCTGCTTGTCGACATACGTTGCTGAAGGAATGGAGACGTCTTCGGCTGTTGTCGAACCATTCACTCCGCATCAACAAGTAGTGACAACATTTGAACTGCTTCGCCAAAGTTCTGATTCCGCTATAAAAAAATTAGCTGAAGACATGCAGAGGTACATGGTTGGAAGATCGGATACCAAGAAATTGGTGCTTCAGACGTGGCTGAAAAACTACGTCTCGCCGTCGACCATATTTCACATTCTAAGTCCGGAATATTCGGTTAAAACGATAGTGGAGCTATTTCGAAAATTTCATTCGTTGGAGGCCCTAGCAAGCCGTATGCTTGCTTACATTTCCGACCCCTTGACCGTGATAAAAGTAGCTGAGATGACTCCAACCGGATACTGGCGAATTTTCCTGTCCCATGGCTTCAATAATGGTCGTCTAATCGAGAAGTGGTACAAATATGCCACAATGTATATCGAGAATAATGCCGAATCCGGGCTGAAGATCAGTGACGTGGTGAAGCTGATTAGCATGACTCCTCATCAAAAGCAAACGCTTAAAACTTTTGAGGAAAATGCGGCCGTGGCTGCGCATACCAACCAGATGCAAAGGGAGGGGCCACCTGCTCAGAAGAAGCTCAGAACAGATTCTTAGCACTATGCGAATGCTGCTGTGGATACCAAGATGGACAAAATTGGCGACCTCCGTCGTAATTGCTTTGTCCATTTCCAACTGCCTGAAAACCGCGCGACATTATGTGTAATTCATCTAATAGTCGTTCAGTTGTTGACGGATAAAAAAAAATAAAAGTGTGACTGACGACTTCGAGTTAGAGTTGCCGTTATCGAGATTCAACAGTGACACTCGATCATTGCTATAAGCTGGGTCTTTGCGGTTATCATATGCACGATTGTATCATTTCATGCATCATCACGATGCAACGTTATGCATAACTTTTTTAAAATCATGAAGCTAGGACACAGGGATGCAAATTAGTCAAATTCTGTTGTGTGAGTATCCAGAAACAATAAATGAACGTCTTACAACATTAAGATTCGCAAAATTTTGTCATTGAACAGGTGGCACCTTCAACCATCTGTAGTATCCTCCATGAATAAGCTACATGCACTGCTAAAATTAAACGTATTTTTGCAGAAATTGAAGCATATTCAGCAAAACAGCATAACATTCCTGAGCAGGCTCTTCCGTTTGTTTCACGTTCATCACTTTACGCTTCATTTTCTTCTCTATTTACATATCAGGAACATTTGAGCATTGGTAATATTCTACGTAATGCAATATTTGAAATATCTAATAAATTTAAAATTTGTTTCCATTTGACTGTAATGTCGCTAGCGGTCCTACTCGCTCTCTTTCTTACCCTAGTCAGCTTGACTACTGAGGCGTCATCGAATTCATCTCAATCAAAAGAAAATCTCTGTGCATTTGATCGCGAGAATGCGCAACAAGTGATCGAATTGCTTAACGTCAAACCGGAACTGGCACCGTTTCATCACAACACTTTGTATCCTCGCATTCTTTGTTTCGCAATCACATATTCCGTGCAGCATTCGACACGCGTTCAAGCTGTAGCGGACACGTGGGGACAAAGGTGTAACTATCTCATTTTTTTCAGCAACATGAGTGATGCGATCATAGTGGGCGCAAACACTTCGGCTGAACGTCAATTTGACGTAGTACAACTTGACATCATCGCTGATCATGCACATTTGTGGCTGCGTACAAGAGCTGCACTCAAGTATATACACAATCACTTTCGTCATGACTACGACTGGTTTTACAAGTGCGACGACGATACATACGTAATTGTTGAGAATTTACGCGCCTACCTGAATAGACCAGAGATCTTGCAACGAGTTTCCCAAGAGCCCATGCAAGTCGGACATCGTTTAAGTATGCCCTTGAACACATTAGACTTTTACATAAAGGATGAAAGTTTGCGATTGAAGTGGCATTCACGTTGGAATCGTATGATCTACAATTCAGGTGGGGCAGGGTATGTCGTAAATCGATTGTTTCTCGACAAGTTTGCCGAGTCCTTGCCTATGAAAACATGCTTGTCTGACGAAGAAAGTAGCAGAATGCCAGAGGACGCAGGTGTGTCGTTTTGCATGATGTGGAATAATGTTTTTCCTTGGGATACAAGAGATTATCGTGGTCGAGATAGATGGCATGCACTTGATCCGAGACATATCTTCATCAAATGGGTTGACCCAACTATATGGCATATACGGTATCACGAAGATATTGGCGGTGTGGGATCGCAAGGTGAGAGTGCTGCTCCAGACAGCGTCGCATTTCATTATGTCCAGCCGCCATTAATGTACCATCTTGAACGGAAGTTGTATCTTTGTCATTCGGAATTTGATGATATTGCAATGTTCAATGAAAACTATGGACTTGCTATCGGAGAAAAGGTTATGGTCTTATAAAGTATCTAGCTCTTTTTTAAAAAGGGATTATTTACATGTAAAAGATTCCTTTAATTCGCTACTTTTTGCAGTGATAATTATGACCTCAAACTCGCAATAATTCTATTTCACGATGGTGTCGCATCGAAGGGGTTACTCTGCTGTCAAAGGATCGAGTCATCGTGATGCCGATGAGGAAGCCCTTCAGATCGCACTTCGTGAGTCAATTAAGTACGCTTTCTTGCTAAACTGTGCACATCGTCTCATAATTAATGCTTATATCTATACTACAGACCTGATTATCTGGCTGAAATTCTGCGCTCTGAAGCCAAGCAGCGCCTCCTCGATGTAGCGCGGACTTCAGTTCCTCAAGTAAATCACAAAGCGATTTCAAATGAACAGTTAATGGAGATTCATGAGCAAGAGGACAGCGGAGATGAAGATGACACGGACACGAGGTCGAATGCTCGAGTTGTTAAAGGTTCAGTAACAACTGACGGTCTTCAGAAAGCTGAAGACGAAAAAACACAAGTGGATCCTAATGCAAATCACACGCTCTTAAACTTTCCCGACACTCTGCTCATCAATATACTTCAATGGCTCGACGAAGATACTATCGGTTCTTGTACTTGTACTTGTAAACGACTATTACCGATGGCCCGCTCCGAAGTGCTTTTTGAGTCAATCTGTCGACGTGTCTTTCCGACGCAAAATCCACGAGTGGCTATCGCTATCACCCGCAATAAATTTGGATTACGGCGGTTTCCAACATGGTTTGCCATGTTCCACGATAGACCTCGAGTACGCTACAATGGGTTTTATTGGCTTAAAGTGACGTATTACAAAAAGCCAGAACTCAGTATGTGGACGGATATTGTCCCGGGAACGATTTTAAAGTGTATTTATTACCGTTACTTTGCGTTTCAGCGCGATGGCACAGTGCTATATGGTATGCTATTTAAGGCTCCGCATGAAGTGGAGACACACATGCGCGACAGACGCAAAGGTGTGTGTTGTGGTCGATTTTGGGTGGATAAAAATGAAGTGGTCGTGACTGTGCCAACAAATTACAACAAAGTGAATTTTAGGCTCCAAATCACGCAGCTAGAACGTGGTAAAAACGTCAAATTGATCTTGAAAGAGCATTTTGCGAATTCAGAACCGAATGGCACAGGATGGATAAATTACTACGACACAGCAGATGAGGAATTTCACTACTATCGATCGTTGATACTTTAGTGCTACCTCTTATACATGGGTTCTTTGTTTGAATAGTAGATACATAGCTGGTTAGATGGTTTGATATAACTATAGTTTCGACGCGTTTGTCTAGTCTTGCATCACTATGAATAGCCAGCCGTTTTCTATGCTGTTGTGCTTATTTATTGATTGCATTCCTACATAATCAAGAAATATGGCTCCAGCAGTAACAAGTAACACTGCAGCCGATCGAAGTTACAAATCGAAATTTGATCAGAGAGATGGCACAAGCAGTTTAAGTCGAAGACCTGATAGCATCTGTGGTAGTCGGTCGAATCAATCACGAGTTATTAGCTCCAGAGAAAAGATTCAAGTATCTAAGCCCACATTAACTGCGTCCTCGATCAAGTCATCAGACATTAAATCGCATACGAAAATACAGTCTACGAGCGACTTCCCATTGCCGTCCACGAGATTAAACAAACACAAGCAAGCTGTAGTTTTTAATCTGGGGAAGAGGAAGCACAAAACGTAAGTACGAGAGTTGAATGAAGATGTGATAGATTTTCATCTGATGTATATTTGCGGGTGAGACAGCATATTTTCTAGTTCCTATGACTCTGGGTTGATTCCCTGTCGCATTAATCACGGCAGTATTCGCAATTCCTTGCTTTGGACAACGGATCCGAAAAGTAAGCTAAAAATTTGTTGTTGAACTCAAAAGTAATCAACTGATTTTAATTGACTAGCGCTGTCATACGACCCGCTACTTATCACATGCATCAAAGGGTTCCTGGAAACCGAGCATCCGTTTGTATTTCTTTCGCGAGCCGCATTTTGTGACCTGATGGTACTGGAAAATGCTTATAATAAGACAGTTCCGATTCTCGCACAAGTCATTGTGCCGTTGCGAGAAGCCTTGATGGCCAAAGATGATGACACGTTTCTTATGGCGTTAAAAGCAACTCGTCTTCTTTCAAATCTAGTGAAGAGTGAGATGAATATGCACCTTTCCAAGCTAACGCAGCAGATTCATCGCAAACTTTTGGCAAATAATTTTCGAGCTGAAGTGGGTGAAACCCTTGCTGTTCTCGAAAGCAATGGCGGGAAAGAGGCACTCGCTATCATTTGTTCAAAGATCCCAACGTACACTTCAATCCGCTAAATGTTTTACGGATGTATTAATATGTTCTAGAGACTTGCTTGCTCAAACATCTGAAAGCGCAAAAGAGCTGAAGATCAGTTATCTGACGACAGCACTGATTTCATCTAGAAAGATATTTGGAATCTAACAAATAAATCAACCAAAGCTTCGCATCATAAAGTTAAGCTATGATATGGCTAGTGCAAGCACATGCACAATTCGTTCATAGGCTTGACAACATGATTTCGTAGACTCACTATTTTACCGTCGTGCTGAGTACACCCTTTCTACTGCAGCTCACGTCGTCTTTCCAGTAAATTATTTGAAAATAATTAATCGTCTGCGTCCTGCTTTCATGAACACTGGCAGCTTGAATCTTTCTGTCGTGCTTCTCATTCGTTCTAACGTTACACTTTCCACGAAATACACAATTAAACAATCTGCCACCTGCCATTTGTACAATCTGAAAATTCATTTTAGGGTCCAGGTGCGATTCGCTTGTGGTAGTATTATTTAGCGTGTGTCATTTCGTTGCAGTAGTGGTTCATTGCAAAGTCAAATGTTTACCGAGAGTTTGCCGCTGGTGTCTACAACGTCTGAAGGCTACTTTTTGTCTCAGAATCTGCTGACCAGAAACCTTGCACAGGCATTTGTAAGAATTTGGCAAAGTGAAGAAACACTGTCACAAAGTAGTTCAATGACAAGATGATGTTTAAAGCGTTTCGACTGGAATTCCAACATATTTTGACCAATTTGCATACCTGCCTCCTAACTTTATGAATTTAAAAGCAAATTTGCACAACATTGCATCGCTACCACCGCTACGACGAGCCTGGGAATTTGTACCAGCGGAAATTGAGGTGACAACCCACCGCAAAAGATCTCGTCACCTCACCCAAGAAACACAGCTTGCTTTGATGCCCACACTAGTCAAGCCAACTCGGATCACCATGCTGATACTACGACTTCAAACCGTATGCTTCGCTCGCGCTGGTTCGAGGCGCTTATATACATACTACATTTGCCTTCCAAACAAAGAGCAACAATGGTGCAATTAAGTCACTTTGCGGGCACATCCTCAAACCTTAGGCCTTAAGTGCTCAAGGATCCGGCCTAGTCACGCTTGCGATATCGCTGCATGCTTGAGGATGCACCTCCATACGTTGGCAAGAGTAGTACAGCTTGATCGCGCACTGAGAGAAGAAAGCACACCGCCTTGTCAGTCTGAGACTATCAAAGCCAGCTTCAGCGAAGTGGATGTCCATCAAGAGCGTTATCTCATGCTTGGCTTTGCGAAGTGAAAGCACGATGTAAACTAGAATCATCTCAAGCTCAAGCTTTGTACAGCCCCGCTCGTCATAGTGAGAGAGATGTAACAGCAATCAACAAACGGGACTTTTCACTGATACTTTAATCGTCACACACTAGTAGGAAGCTCACTGCTATTCTCTGAAGTAGTTAAAGTCTGAGGGTGCACCAGGTCGTGAGCGACCACGGCATCGGGACAATCTTGCCGAAATGTGAGGTTAAACTCTCATGAATTCTTGTCTGAAAGTATACCTTTTACCTTACCAAATACTGAAGCAACCCTGATGTACCTGGCAGCCTACCAGACGTTCAACCTGAGAAAAGCCCCGTTACTCATCTAGTGGTGCCAGCGCAGGTCATCCCGCGGCTGCCCCTCGGCTTATAGTGGCACGTCGATCCTCCTAGAGAATCTCGGCTTGCGCTCGAAAGTCCGAACCGCGTCGCTGATAATGGGTAGATCAGCTGCAGAGGATGATTGAAATATTGTTTTGTTCACTACAAAATTCCTTACATCAGACTTGCTCGTATGAGCGAAAACTTGACATAGCTCCAAAAAAAGACGACGCAGATCAGAGGATGTGTTTGCATTCTCTGATAGATTTTGAACTCTCGACTTTTTAGCTCAGACCGCGAATGGCGGTCTCAACAAAGAGGTATAAACCACGGGTGATACATGTGCAAGTAGGTTGACTGCATTCACTCAAAACCCTTGCCGCGCGACATATTTGAATGTGTTCCGCATGTCTCCGGCACCATCGTTTTGCGTTTATCCACGCTTGCTCTCATACATAGCGCCAGTTATCCTGCGCATAAGGCTCAATCTACCTAAGGTAAAATTACTTATTGCGCTCAAAGATGTATCCGGATTGATGTAGCAAGTCGGATTTGATTGACAGCATTCTAAATGAGACAGGAGATACATTTGGCGGTGTTAAAAAGCACATGGAGGTTTATTAAAATCTACACCATTGGTGAAGATCTCGGTATGGCCTGTAAGACTTGTACCTCGTCATTACGCAAGCTTAAGCAGTGGTAGCACCTTGCTTTAGCATCGCGGTCTCTCCGTACAAGCGCCTCAAATGTTATCCTATAAAATGCAATCACGCGTTCCGGCTGGTCATCTTTTTGTGGTTCGTTAGTGACTGGCTGGAAGGATACGAGAAAACGAGCGCTATCCAGTTAGGATCCGTGCTCTTGGAGTGATGCTCGCAAAATTTTTGCGGGTCTTTATCCAACAGAATGGCTACCGACAAGCCATGATAACAACACTTTTGTCGAGGAGCAGTTTAGATCGATACTCATCGGTTTCGGTAGTAATGATACGGCAGCTAGGCTCTAAACGCACCAAAATTAGTCTTAGTGACAGCAGCGATATGAGCCAAAACAGTGGGCAAAAATCGCAATGATAGTATTTACTCAAAGCATATTTAGATCAATCATAGAGCACAAACGTATCAATGACATCACTCTACCGGAATATGCATGCTGGTCAGAGGTGCCGCCGAATGCTGCGAGATTGACTCGCTGAATCCTTTCACACGTGTACTCATCTTTGCTTATTTGACTATACATTTTTGGCCGCCAATACTTAGCACTCATCGATACGAACTTCCTTTCTCCTCCAAAGCTGCCAGTCAAGGCGTTATTATGTGCCTGGTACAACATTTTGATCTTGTAACCCCCATTGTGAGACGCTGAATGTCGCTGTGATATAACACGCCTTATCGGAACAAGTAGCGGTGCTAGCATGCAACTTTACTCCTTAAATTTCAAGTGCTTGCGCTTACAGATTTCTTGCTTCCCAAAGTTTTTACGACGCGGCCAATGATGCTTGCGACCCGTACGATATGTGTCTGGGTGGCACGAAAAACTTTTGCCGGCCCAGCTTTCTTACCTTCAAGGAATACCCATAAAAAGGTGTACTATATTTTTTGTGATAGATATGATGACGATGTCGCTGTGCGCAACAACACACAATTTGTCTCGACTACAAACGGTCTCGAACTAAACACCTACACTCTGAATTTGAGGGCATGCTTCATTCCAAGTAGTATTTCGTCATGAACAAAGAAGTTCCAGTATAATTTGAAGAAAGTGAGACTCAAACGCGATCACGGGTTCTTGAACATATTCATCTATGTTAAATGTGTCACATTCTGGTCAAATTCTCAAAGTGTGTCACTTTTTGGAATACAAGAAAGCGCAGACCATGGCAAATGCTGACAAATCATAGTCGACGTGAGATGACAAATCGGGATTTGGAAGTACCAAAGCCAGGCAAACTAATTATCATATAATCTCCACTTCTGCTACGCCCCATCAGTATTTAACATTCCTATTTCGGAGCTTGATACGGAGACAAGCCATGTCGGCATAGCCTACTGTACTCGTGCTTATACTTGGCCAGACTAACCTAATTCTTATCGGGACAGGAAAAATTGACGATATCATGGTAATTATCCGTGAGGAAACAAACCAAACAGCGAAGCAGCCCAGAAAGGAAGATCGTCGTCGCTAAAGTCACACTTGCCGATCTAGCCTTTATGATCGCATACACTCAATCACTGCTCATAAGTGTTTAACGTGTTTCGCCACATCCAATACCTGAGTTTTGTAGGACCATGGATGAATACATAATTCGGCTTGATTATAGACCCGATTTAACCCGAATAGCTGCATAACTATACCTTTGGGTGTCGCTAGTGCATCATAGTCGCTGGTGCATTGGACAGTCGCTATAGCTCAGTCAGCCATTCCACGCGCATGTCCTACTAGGGGTACACATCACAATCAAAAGAATATGATCCTCCCTCATGAGCGACTAAGAACGTCCATTTACTCGGTCAAGGACTTGAAAAGGACCATGCCGTTCCTAAGCTTATCTTTACTTGGAGTTAGCGTTTGCATTAGGTTAATGACTGTACTTAGCTAATCAAACATGCATAGTCAATCACTTAATTGCTAAAAGAGAATCATTAAAAATAGCTGCCCCATTCCTTGCATTTGGTGCTCCGCAAATGTTTGCATTAGTAGATTGATCCAGCACGGATGATGACCTCAGCACCTCCGGTACCAGCCGTGACATTTTAATTACTTGATCACTTTGCGAGTCCTTGCAAACACCTTTCAGGGGCTATCCTAACTTGTTAAGAACTTTTACAGAAGGACATGACAAAGGACCTCCAATGTCTAGGATTGCTTGGTCACTCCAAGCTCAATTATTTTCGCTTTACCATGGAACTTTAAAGCTCGGCACGGCTGCACGTCACACGGTAGTGCTGAATCTGCATGTTCGTTCTATCGGGACAATGACAGTCATTTTGAATAATCTCAAGACCCAACTGTAACGGGAATTGCCCGTTCGTATACACACATTATTCTAAGGAAGACACGCATCACTGCGTGTTGATCGCTTCCCGCAGGGTGTTGACTTACATAGAGAGGACGAAAGGTGAAGTGACATTCATTATTATAGCCAATAGGCATTTTGACCTCCCTACCATGATAGTATTTCCAGGTCCAAAACAACAGATCTGAAAGGGGATATACAATTATACAGGATGCACAGTCAATGCCTGACACACAAAATACGTGATCTGTGTAATAGGACCTGACCCATTACACCACCCCTTACTCAAAGTGGGTTGACCTAAATATGTAGTTTATTCTAACTCCTTTTCCAATTCATCTTCCGCTCTTTATATCACTATGTC